TGCTCTACTCTCGGCTCGCTTGCCATCGCGCCCAAGATCCCAGCTTGCAATGTATGCTTAATGTTTGCTGTGCAAATGGCGCTTGCGGACGTCGGGTCGCTGTTTACTGCCCAAGATAATAAATATTCTTCGGCCGTTTCTTATAACGTTCAAACTGAAGCCGGGCAGTGCGCTGACATCACGTGTGCATGGTTAAAATGCCTGATCTTACGTGCTTTACTTCGCTCGCAGCTTCGCGCCACGATTCCCAAGCTATGCAATGCGATGGCAAATGGCCGCTGCGAGTCGGTTCGGCCAGTTGTGCCAAGCAGAGAGAGAGAGAGAGAGAGACAGCGACATAGAGAGAGAGAGAGAAAAAAAAGAGAGAGAGAGCGAGAGCGAGCGAAAGCGAGAAAAGGAGAGAGTGTGCCCATGCAACAATTCCTCCATTTGTTATTCCTATTGACCGTAGCGGCATCGGCAGTAAAAATGCAAACGTGTCAGCGGCAGTGTGCTATCAACAAAACACAGCAACGGGATAACCTTCCATTTCGACCGACTAGCTAAAGGTCACACACGAGCTGCTGACGCAGGGAAGCGATGCGAGCAGTAAAAACATGTCGTTGCACGGGTTTTAGTCAGAAACATCTAGCTAACTCCAACCACAGCTTTAACCGTTAACGTTTTTTTTTTATATTACCGGACATGTAAACTGCAAGAAAAAAATTAGCAAAATATATTCATCTCGTATCTATCTCGTATTTCTAACAAAGATGGCAGATGAATTTACGACAAAGTAAGTGAAATACGGTCATTTGATCGAGAAAGAGCGACGTTAAAAAGTAAAAATATCAACGTTCATAGTTCTTTTTTTTCAAACTTTCCGCGTACGTTCTTTGATGGCAACTATACAAATTACGTGCGTGTCTCGGAAATTGGACCTCACGCATATTAGCAATTTCATGAGTGTGTCTTGACAGACCCTTACGTAGACAATAATACTTCCAAAATCGTCCATGATTTTTCTGGAATCTCATTGGTTACTGACCATGATTACTATATACTAGGGACTAGTTGAAGGTAGTTCAATAACCTCTCGCCAACAGAACATCTCGACTCGGTGTAAATGCATGGCCATAAATGAACCATAAGTAAGCGTGGGCACTCACGTGTAGAGAAAAATCGACGACGGCGGCTCGTCCTCGAATACTCCGGCGATGTATATATGATAGACTACAGAAGGATCATCGGCCGTGATTTTTACCTACATCTATCGTGCGAAGCTGTAAAATATTAATAACAATATGACCAAGAGCGAATTAAGACTGAATTCTTAATACGCTCTTGATATGATATATAAACATGATGGTAGTAGGAATTGTGGAGTAGACGAACACAGACGCTAACAACCGCGAGGTTCCATACTGCATCCATATAAGATAGCGAAGGTTGCAGTGGGATTTCTATCTGCATCTACTATGCAAAGCAGTACAACATTGACACTGTTATAAAATAAATATGACAATACATCGCAACAGTCAGCACACCTTTGTGGATGGCAGGCCGTGAGTGTTAGTAGAAGGATAGGCATCTGTAAGCATCGTAGAGGGATGAGCATTTGTCGTGGCTCTCACTGTATTGATATTGGACTATGGAACCGGATTGTATTGGATTGGTTTATACCGGATTGACTGTGGAAGGATTCCTCATCCGTAATCTTGTGTGTGTGTGTGTGTGTGACAGGGAGACGCGGGAGGACCCGGTACGAAGGGAGCGATGGGACTGCAGGGCCCGCGAGGAGACCACGGAACTCCAGGAAAGACGGGAGACTCAGGAGCACCGGTAAGGCTTCCTCTCCTCTCCCCTCTTTCTCCTTCCTTTCCTCGTCGTCTTATATTAGGTAACGCCTCCTCTCCTCTCCTTCTCCTTCTCCTTCTTCCTTTCCTCGTCGTCTCATATCAGGTAACGCCTCCTCTCCTCTCCTCTCCTCTCCTTCTTTTTTTCCTGTCTCATATTAGCTTCAAGCCGATCACATGTAAAGCTACTGGTGATAGTTCCTCGCAGTCACTAGAACTTGTCGACGACACAGGGTAACCTGCACACCACTATAAAAAATATATGTATATATATATA